TTAGGAAAGTGAGGATGAATAAAACCACGAGGTTAACGCATGTATACTTCTTCTGTGAGAGAACCATGCAAGAATGCATTTTTAACATCAAATTGCCTAATGACCCACCCAAAAGAAACTGCAAGAGTAAGAACAATACGAACTGTGATGGATTTAATAACAGGGCTAAAAGTTTCAGAAAAATCAATACCAGCCTGTTGATTAAATTCCTGAGCCACTAACCGAGCTTTATCCCACTCAACTGACCCATCAGAATGATATTTCGTTTTATAAATCCACTTACAACCAACAATATTCTTAGAATTGTCAAAGGGCACCAGATCCCAAGTATTATTATTAATGAGTGCATTAAATGCCTCAGCCATCGCTTCCCTCCAATGTAAATGTTTATTGGCCTCAATAAAACACGTAGGATTAGTGTGTTGATAACAACTGTACTGTCATTTTTGATAAAAATTCTTTTTTTATTAAGGACCGGTCCACGGGGGCAGTGCTTCTTCGAACCACCAGTAATGGACCACTTTATCCTCTCCGTCTGCAGTCACCATCACCTTTAGTTTTAGCTTCTGTTTAAAAAAACTTAGGGTTTTTAGTCTGCTCTGATACCATGTGAAATAATAGAACAGGATGCTCTCTAAGGAGCCCTGGCAGATATATTTATAGTAGAGAGTTTAAATGTAAAAGTACATAAATATCCTTATTAAATAATCTATTACATATATGTTCACAATTTTTTTGAATGCTCATTCCTTAAGTAATTTATGCTCATTTGAGACCTGTGTCATGCTCATTTCAAAATATCATATCAATGCACATTTCATGAGTATCATATTTTCATTCTCTAACTAGTTGTGATCATTTTGAATTGCTATATCAATACACATTGTTGTATATGTTTTTCATGATGTACTCATGAAATCTTTTTTTGATCATCTTATAATTTCATAGTATACTCAATTCTTTTAAACGTTATAATCATTTAAGTATAATATAAAACTCATTTATGGACAATCCACATATCTAATTATATTCAACTCAGTATAAATAAAAACAAATAAAATTCGTTTAAATTGTAGAAGTAGAATCTATAAAGTGTTGGGCCGCAAATTTACCAAATGAGGAAAGGTGGATTACATGTCACCAAACTAAAGACCAAGTCTACCATTCTACACGTACAAATGGCTAAGGATAGAATTGTTTAACTGACTACCTATTTCCATGGAAGTGGAGCCAAAGTGCCGGTCAAAGCAGTTAGACGTGAGCAACAAAAGTGGCACACGAGGCTAGACTTGCGGGAAGGGAGAGCTCCATCCCTTTAAATAGATTAGATAGCAAGCAGTGTAATTCATTCACAATCAGTAGAGACCCACTATCACATACATTCAAATTCTTATTCGAAACCCATTGTTCAATCTATTCAATATATTCATTTAATTCATACTTCTCTATTAATCCATAGTCGATTCTTTTTGCTTGATTCACTCTTCATTAAATAGTTTTTGATTAGTTAATTTCTAGTCAAAACATAAAGTTAGAAAAATCTAACCGTAACAACTAACAAGAACTGTTTTGAAATAATCATTAATCATGTATATTTCAATAATTCATACAAGTGCAACATCCAAGTGATAAAATATTCAATCAACAAAATTAACAATCACTTTGTCAGTTTTTTGAATAGTTTGTGTGCATTCATATTATGATTCAATTTAGAAAATTGAAGCATTAAAGCAATGATGAAGCATTGAATCAGTTTTGGAATCAGATTACATCTCATTTAACATTTTCGGAATTGACAAGATTCAATTTTAGAATCACCACACAATTTACGGATTGTAAATATTAAAGTGAAAAAGAAACAAAGAAAATGAAAAGTTGGTCCAGGTGGAAGACGTACCGGAAGAAGATGCATGAGAAAAGAGACATGCATGTGCGAGTTTGTCAGTTTGATATACATGCGGAATTTTGAGGGATTGATATACATGCACGTTCATAATCCGTTAAAATACGAGATTTTGGGAAAATAAGTATCAAATAGACCTATAAACGGAATTTTGAGGGATTGATATACATGCACGTTCATAATCCGTTAAAATACGAGATTTTGGGAAAATAAGTATCAAATAGACCTATAAATGAATCGAATTACAAAAAAACCCGGATGTAAATATACATCCGAGTGTATATGAACTCAAGTTATATGGGACATTGTGGCGTAACATTAATGATTCATTTTTGAATCCGAGAAGATGGAGAGACTCTCCTAAAATGGAAATGGATTGCCGGCAGCACCTTAAATGCCGGAAACACTCAATGTTAGTGTTTAAGTGTTCAAGTTTACATATAGATCCCAATACATATAAGTAGTACTCCCTCCGTTCCACTATGATTGTCTCATTTTACCTTTTCGGTCCGTCCCACTAAGATTGGCTCATACCTTATTTGGTAAAATTTGTGTGGTTCTATATCTAAAGCATTCTTACTTCATTCCTACTTATTATAGAAATAGGACTCTATAATAAGTCTATCTCACGTTAGTCTCCAAGTAGAGATATGCTCGTACTCGGTAATAGTAATTCTATTTATTATGGGGAAGCTCTATCATAAATAAGTATTACAATTTAACAGTCTTTTTATCAATTTATATAAATGCCATCATTATTACTGACAGGCCATCATCAATTAGTAACTCATAAATCACAAAAAAAAACGTGATTAACATAAACTGATCATTAAAGAGCAATTTTAGTTAAACTGTGTGACTAATTTTCATAGTGCCTTTAAATAATTACCATCAAGAAAGAGGAATTTAAAAGAGGAATTTTAGTTGTACTGGGTAACTAACTCAGGGCATCTCTACCAAGTGTTAGTGTTTAAGTGTTCAAGTTTACATATAGATCACAATACATATAAGTAATAAGCAAATTTTTGTGGAATATAAATCAATTAAATATACTAAACTAAATCTCTATAATTCAAGGACACATAAGCTAATGAAATATTGGAATCAACACACTGACCGAGAAGAACATGTCAGATTTTTGGGTACTCTCTGTTTTGTGATTATTTTAATTAATCCACTTCAGTGCACTAACGTTTTACACCATGTTAGCATGATTTTAAAAGGCAAGTACAGGTTGAGGGGCTAAGAACATTGAGAGGCAATGAAAACGCTAGTTTGAAATATATTGAATAATATAACAGAACTCATTTTGCCAGCAGCAATCAATAACATCTGTTTTCAGTTTGCTCAAATTTATTTTCTTAAGATTAATAATTTTAGTACCTCGACAACGAAATCATTAGTAGCCTCCTTAAGCTCTTTAATTTTTTCTGCATTTTCAGAAAACGCAGTTATCGTATACTCCTTTTGAGCCGTCATGCTATTGTTTCTGCAGTTCCCAATTTTGAAGATCAATTCTCTATCAATGAGAACCAAGATGTCATTGGGAACTTCAGAAGGTGATAAAGTGTCCTACATAAAAGAAGAAAATGATTGATGTTATAACATGGACATATTGTTAATGCTAGACAAAAATGAAACATGATAAATTAACAATCTACCATGCTAAGACAGTCATTTAGTTCATTTGCTTCTTTCCCGATTAGCTTACATGACACCTCATCCCACATGACTACTTCAACAAAACGGTGACCATGTCTGACACTCAATTTCAGCATGCATCTCAAAACACCTGCCTGTTTCACCTATCAATGAGATCCAAGATGTCATTGGGAACCTCAGAAGGTGATAAAGTGTCCTACATAAAAGAAGAAAATGATTGATGTTATATCATGGACATATTGTTAATGCTAGAGAAAAATGAAACATGATAATTTAACAATCTACAATGCTAAGACAGTCATTTAGTTCATTTGCTGTTTTCCCGATTAGCTTACATGACACCTCATCGCACATGACTACTTCAGCAAAACGGTGACCATGTCTGGCACTCAATTTCAGCATGTATCTCCAAACACCTGCCTGTTTCACCTCTCGACAGTTGTAGCATTAGTGTGACGCTCCCTCATATTTCAACTTCTTAAGGCAAGTCTTGGCATTGCATCCCAAATAAGCCCAATTCTTTAAGGAGAGAATTGAACTAATTTGAGCGTAAAACCAGCAACCCTTAACCTAAATCAAAGTGCTTAATTGTTAGCTCCAAAGAATAACATATTTAAATGGGAAAAGTGTCAAATTGTCAAAATATGCATGTGGCAACAACTATAACGTCAGAAGCATCATCAACCATTCACACTGGTGAATATTATTATTTTTTATGTATTCAGTTTGTGCTTTCATATAGCTTTTGTTTGAACTAATTGAGTAATAATCAAGGAAATAATATAAAATATCACCTCTTTAGCTGTCTCTAAATCAGAAAGAGACATAGTAAACCCGACATCAATACCGCCATCTCTCGAAGAAACACAAGATGAAGTTGTCTGGCTTGAAGTACACTTGGTGGTTTGCCTTGAAGCCAAATACCTATATGTGTTCATAATTCATTCATAATTTAAATATAAATCATAATTTGAACACATACAGTTAAGTTACGAATAACAAAGAAAACGATCATTACCGGTAGCGGAAATCCTCAATATCTGGAATATGATCATCCAAAAATAACTTTGTAGCATACCATGAGGAAGCAATTCAATTCTTATCCCCTACATGTCAAAAACGTATACTTTAATGAGAATAAACAAACATTATTGTAATTTTAAAGTAACAAATAGTTATACACACAGACGCACCATATCTTTGGTTTCTGCGGACCGACTGGAGAAGAAATATAACTGGATCTTTTAAAGCAGCATCTTTTGAAGTAGGAGACAAAAAATTCTTGACTTGAAGGACATAATCACCGTAGACAGTACATAACACACTCTCGCCCCTTCATAATAGTACATCAGAGCGTAAATATAGCAAGAAATTTAAATATTATGATAAATAATTCATGTATAATGGGCAAGTGATAATTTAAAGGAAACTTAACTCCAGGTTTTTCAGGCCGGAATCAGCATACCAATCACCTTTTTTGGTTTTTTGCTGTATAAAAGTTTGATCCAGATCATAAGCACCAATAATATCTGCATTCATTTGATTTAACAATATCAACTATAGTGCCTTTAAGTAAATTTCAGGTGCAGATTAATCTGAAGCAAACAAAAGCACAACTGCATATAATTATTGGGCGTGTTTTAATTGAAAAAAGTACCTATCAAATAGGGATCTTGACTGCTTTCTGGGTTCTGAATATCCGCGAAGCTAGAAATTCTGAACCTAGACGGTGGAAAACTAAGACCGATTGTTTGTTCTCGATGCAGAAATTTTGTGAATGGAGTAAACTCAAAGCGGTATGGATGACCAGTGACCCTATATCTTCCTTCGATATTCTTCACATCTGGGTGCACGATAGCATAAATTAATCCTTCTTGAACATATTCGAATTTACCAATAAGTTCAATTGGAATCGTCGCTTGAATTGTCGCACTCTAGTAAGAGCATTAATAATGAATTAGTACTTTAAATTACCTTCAAAACTATGAAGAAGTAAGCAAATTAAGATTAAAATGAGTAAGGTTAAAAGGTGAAACAAAAACTGCATGAAAACTCAGTAAGAGTGCATCTAAAAATTATAAAGGTTCAGAGTTAATTAATAAAATGCTGAAAACAGTTTGACAATTCATCTTTGAATTCTCAAGTAATGTTATTATTGTTACTCTTTTTTTCAACAAAATTCCCACATTATCAGAATTAAGTAAAATAGATATAATCGGCACAATTTTGGATGAGTTTAGGATGTATGATTCAGCAGCTTAATGGTTTTTATTCTGATGGGATATGTTACTCAGTTGGTAGGTTAGCACAATTTTTTTATTCTGAAACAATTCAGTACATACTTTTTGGCAATTTGCGAAATTTTTTTTACTTCGAGTTATTGTTGCTACTTTGTTTATAGGTGAGGTAGACTAAAACATAAAGTAGAAAAGGATGATTCGGTAACCTTTTCATCCATGAAAATCATTTCAACGGATTTGGTTGTTGGATTTTACAATCCAAACTTCTCGTTCCATTTTCTGATGACCATCACCATAAAAGCAGTACCCTTTGGTAAGGTCGGAACAACATCTTTCAGATACTTTTGCGTAGGTGCCATTGATCCTAAAAATGAAGTGGTTGAGACAGAAAAAGACATAGTATAAATTACTAAAGAACAATTTCAGTAACACTGGGTAAATAAAATTTAACATCTACAATAATTACACATTAATATGGATTCAATTAACTGAATAAATTATATATAAGTACCAGAAAATATTTTTGAATCCACTCATCGCAGGTTATTTGTTCAAAATTTAGCAACACAAATAGCCATAAGATCTGCTTTCATGTATTACAAAATTATTGTTTTAGAAAAAATATAATTAATATAACACATAAACAAACTTGTTTTACACCAATATGTACTATCCTTTAGCTTTATATACACCAATAGAGAAATCACAGTAATATAGTTTTTGTTGAGAAGAATCAGATTTTGTTATATATATTCACCGAATGTGTAATTCTTCTTATATTGCAATTCCTTGTGAACCAAAAATCATTTTTTGTTACACATATCACTCACTCAATCTATATTCTTATTTTATTTATTTTAGGCAAAAGAGTCAAATAGGCCCCTGAACGTATTTGAATTGCGCAATTCGCACCCCGAACCCAAATAACCTCCGATCAGGCCCACCATCCCCCTTTTTTTGTTCAAATCCTACATCTACCCGGTTACCTCCCATTTTCTCCCCTTAAATGCCCAGTCAGCAAGTTTTGCCCCAAATCTAATGCTGACTCATTAATTCGTCCCAGTCCAAGCTGTCTACGTGTAATAATAAAACCTATTTACCGTTTAGGAATCGAACCCTAATTTGAAAATCGGAACTGTCATACGAGTAGTCGTCATACCAGAGCGCGCAGAGGAGAAGATAGAGGAAGAAGACTTGGAGGTTGAAGGCGAAGCCCTGAATCGAAGGCTCTAAGGTAAACCAAGTGACTGAAATGATTAATTTTCATTTACTATAGTCGAACCCTTTATTTTTATGTCTTGTATGCTGTCAGTGTAAAAGCCATTGATGCTGAGTATTTTTTTTCGTATCAGAATGTGGGAAACATTGGACATCATTTTATACTATGGTGGAAACCTAGAGTCATGCTCTCCTATGGAGTACACCAATGGCCACATAGAGGTTATCAAAAGTGACCCTGATGTTGTCAGTTATCCTCATTTAAAAAAGTTCATAGAATCAGGACCATTTGGGGGATTTGGCAAGCTTATGTATAAACTGCCTTGTGAACCCTTAGAGTCTATAAGGGAGTTGTGTGATGATGCTACCACATTGGACATGGTGAGGTTGTCCTCTGCTGGAGTTTGTGAATTGTATTTGCTTAAACCTTCCAACTGTGTTGATCACCTAGGAAGTTCAGTTGACCGGATTGGTGATTGTGATGGAGGCCTGCATGAAGTGGAAAGGCAAACATGTGTTGATGCAGTTGTGAGGATCAAAAGGACCAAGAAGTTGAAAGCAAGAAGAAAGAAAGATTCAGGCAATCAACCTGAGAGGGCTGCAACTGACACTGGTGTTAGTGCTATGGATCAAAATGACAATGTTGGAACTGAGATGGCTGACACTCTTGAGCTTTGTGATGTTGAAATTCAGACACTTGATGATGATGAAGATTTGGAGAGCCAAGAAGACCCTCCTCTCAGTAATGAAGATGGTTCTGATAATGACAATGGTTCTGATACTGAGGAGGTTTTGGGGACAAGACCACAGAAGAATAAGGAGTCTGTGCATGAGGAAGAGGATGAGGACTATGAAGATAGCATGATGTTGTACCCTTCTGATAACCCACCAAGCTATGTTTCAAATGCCTCAGGTATGAATGAAGATGAAGTGGAGTCCAAGCTTAAAGACCATCATCCTTCATACAACCCACAGAGTGAACCTCCTGATATTGAGCCTGGGATGCTATTTGAGGACAACATTCAATTTAAGAGTGCCCTAATTAAATATGTTGTGCACCACAAGAAGAATATATTCTTTAAGAGGAACGAACCAATGAGAGTCCGGGCACAATGCATTCAGGAAAACTGCCCTTTTTCCTGTTATGCAAGTTGGGAAGAAAGGTTCAAATACTTCCAAGTTAAAAGCATGCAGACCAAACACTTATGTAACCCAAAGTTCAAGTTGAGAGTTGTGTCTGAAAAATGGATAGAAGAGAAATATGAGGATAAGGTTAGAGATGACCCCTGTATTGGGTATGTGTCCTTAAAGGAGCACATAGAGGCTGAACTGGGAATTCATGTTTCATTTAGCATGGTGAGGAGGGCTGTACGAGGCATTAAGAAGAGAATAAATGCCAGCTTTGCAGAACAGTTTAACAGGCTTATAGATTACGCTCAAGAGTTGCTGGATTCTATTCCCAACAGTACCATCAAGATCATGACTTCCACAGTAGTTGATGATGGCCCATGCTTCTTCCAGAGATTTTATTGCTGCTTTGGTCCAATGAAAAAGGGTTTCTTAGAAGGCTGCAGAAAGATAATTGGGTTAGATGGATGTTTCTTAAAAGGCTTATTGAAGGGAGAAATACTCACAGCAGTTGGAAGGGATGCAAACAACAACATGTTCCCTATTGCATGGGCAATTGTTGAGATTGAAAATACCTCATCCTGGTCATGGTTTATAGAGCTGTTGAAGGAAGATCTTCAAATTGTGGATACCTCTCCCTGGACTGTCATAAGCGACCAACAAAAGGTAAATATAATTACATTTTATTAAAATACAATTACATTTTATTACATATAGTTACTGAATGTTAATAGTCTTACATGTTATTACTTTAATCACACTATCAAATACTTTCATTAGATACACTTACTTTTTCAATCACACATAAATTAAAAGAAAAGACATGCAGTTGTTTACATAAATTAATATAATAACTACTTACTTTGTAATTGTCGAAAATAAGAGCAAAAACGGAAGAACAAAATCAGCTGAGGCGTAGCACGCCGCAAGTGTTAGGCGATCAGAGGAGGTGTTTATATAGATGATAAGATTGCTCTAAAAAATCTATTAGAAATAGGACTCTATAATAAGTCTATCTCACGTTAGTCTCCAAGTAGAGATATACTCGTACTCGGTAATAGTAATTCTATTTATTATGGGGAAGCTCTATCATAAATAAGTATTACAATTTAACAGTTTTTTTATCAATTTATATAAATGCCATCATTATTACTGACAGGCCATCATCAATTAGTAACTCATAAATCACAAAAATAAAACGTGATTAACATAAACTGATCATTAAAGAGCAATTTTAGTTAAACTGTGTGACTAATTTTCGTAGTGCCTTTAAATAATTACCATCAAGAAAGAGGAATTTTAGTTGTACTGAGTAACTAACTCAGGGCATCTCTACCCAGTGTTAGTGTTTAAGTGTTCAAGTTTACATATAGATCACAATACATATAAGTAATAAGCAAATTTTTGTGGAATATAAATCAATTAAATATACTAAGCTAAATCTCTATAATTCAAGTACACATAAGCTAATGAAATATTGGAATCAACACACTGACCTAGAAGAACATGTCAGATTTTTGGGTTCTCTCTGTTTTGTGATTATTTTAATTAATCCACTTCAGTGCACTAACGTTTTACACCATGTTAGCATGATTTTAAACGGCAAGTACAGGTTACGTATCCAGGGCATTGAGGGGCTAAGAACATTGAGAGGAAATGAAAACGCTAGTTTGAAATATATTGAATAATATAACAGAACTTATTTTGCCAGCAGTAATCAATAATATACGTTTTCAGTTTGCTCAAATTTATTTTCTTAAGATTAATAATTTTAGTACCTCGACAACGAAATCATTAGTAGCCTCCTTAAGCTCTTTAATTTTTTCTGCATTTTCAGAAAACGCAGTTATCGTCTACTCCTTTTGAGCCGTCATGCTATTGTTTCTGCAGTTCCCAATTTTGAAGATCAATTCTCTATCAATGAGATCCAAGATGTCATTGGGAACCTCAAAAGGTGATAAAATGTCCTACATAAAAGAAGAAAATGATTGATGTTATAACATGGACATATTGTTAATGCTAGAGAAAAATGAAACATAATAAATTAACAATCTACCATGCTAAGACAGTCATTTAGTTCATTTGCTGCTTTCCCGATTAGCTTACATTACACCTCATCCCACACGACTACTTCAGAACGGTGACCATGTCTGACACTCAATTTCAGCATGTATCTTCAAACACCTGCCTGTTTCACCTATCAATGAGATCCAAGATGTCATTGGGAACCTTAGAAGGTGATAAAGTGTCCTACATAAAAGAATAAAATGATTGATGTTATAACATGGACGTATTGTTAATGCTGGAGAAAAATGAAACATGATAAATTAACAATCTATCAGGCTAAGGCAGTCATTTAGTTCATTTGCTGCTTTCCCGATTAGCTTACATGACACCTCATCCCACATGACTACTTCAGCAAAACGGTGACCATGTCTGACATTCAATTTCGGCATGTATCTCCAAACACCTGCCTGTTTTACCTCTCGACAGTTGTAGCATTAGTGTGACGCTCCCTCATATTTCAACTTCTTAAGGCAAGTCTTGGCATTGCATCCCAAAGAAGCCCAATTCTTTAAGGAGAGAATTGAACTAATTTGAGCGTAAAACCAGCAACATTTTAACCTAAATCGAAGTGCTTAATTGTTAGCTCCAAAGAATAACATATTTAAATGGGAAAAGTGTCAAATTGTCAAAATATGTGGCAACAACTATCACTTCAGAAGCATCATCAACCATTCACACTGGTGAATAATATTATGTTTTATGTATTCAGTTTGTGCTTTCAGATAGCTTTTGTTTGAACTAATCGAGTAATAATCAAGGAAATAATATAAAATATCACCTCTTTAGCTGTCTCTAAATCAGAAAGTGACATAGTAAACCCGACATCAGTACCGCCATCTCTCGGAGAAACGCAAGATGAAGTTGTCTGGCTTGAAGTACACTTGGTGGTTTGCCTTGAAGCCAAATACCTATATGTGTTCATAATTCATTCATAATTTAAATATAAATCATAATTTGAACACATACAGTTAAGTTACGAAGATCAAAGAAAACGATCATTACCGGTAGCGGAAATCCTCAATATCTGGAATATGATCATCCAAAAATAATTTTGCAGCATACCATGAGGAAGCAATTCCTATCTTATCCCCTACATGTCAAAAACGTATACTTTAATGAGAATAAACAAACATTATTGTAATTTTAGAGTAACAAATAGTTATACACACAGACGCACCATATCTTTAGTTTCTACGGCACGACTGGAGAAGAAATATAACTGGATATTTTAAAGCAGCATCTTTTGAAGTAGGAGACAAAAAATTATTGACTTGAAGGACATAATCACCGTAGACAGTACATAACACACTCTTGCCCCTTCATAATAGTACATCAGAGCGTAAATATAGCAAGAAATTTAAATATTATGATAAATAATTCATGTATAATGGGCAAGTGATAATTTAAAGGAAACTTAACTCCAAGTTTTTCAGGCGGAAATCAGCATACCAATCACCTTTTTTGGTTTTTTGCTGTATAAAAGTTTGATCCAGATCATAAGCACCAATAATATCTGCATTCATTTGATTTAACAATATCAACTATAGTGCCTTTTAAGTAAATTTCAGGTGCAGATTAATCTTAAGCAAACAAAAGCACAACTGCATATAATTATTGGGCGTGTTGTAATTGAAAAAAAGTACCTATCAAATAGGGATCTTGACTGCTTTCTGGGTTATGAATATCCGTGAAGCTAGAAATTCTGAACCTAGATGGTGGAAAACTAAGACCGGTTGTTTGTTCTCGATGCAGAAATTTGGTGAATGGAGTAAACTCAAAGCGGTATGGATGACCAGTGACCCTATATCTTCCTTCGTTATTCTTCACATCTGGGTGCGCGATAGCATAAATTAATCCTTCTTGAACATATTCGAATTTACGAATAAGTTCAATTGGAATCGTCGCTTGAATTGTCGTACTCTAGTAAGAGCATTAATAATGAATTAGTACTTTAAATTACCTTCAAAACTATGAAGAAGTAAGCAAATTAAGATTAAAATGAGTAAGGTTAAAAGGTGAAACAAAAACTGCATGAAAACTCAGTAAGAGCGCATGTAAAAATTATAAAGGTTCAGAGGTAATTAATAAAATGCTGAAAACAGTTTGACAATTCATCTTGGAATTCTCATGTAATGTTAGTATTGTTACTTTTTTTTTCAACAAAATTCCCACATTATCAGAATTAAGTAAAATAGATAAAATCGGCACAATTTTTGGATGAGTTTAGGCCATATGATTCAGCAGCTTAATGGTTTTTATTCTGATGGGTAATGTTACTCAGTTGGTAGGTTAGCACAATTTTTTTATCCTGAAACAATTCAGTTCATACTTTTTGGCAATTTGCAATTTTTTTTACTTCGAGTTATTGTTGCTACTTTGTTTATAGGTGAGGTAGACTAAAACATAAAGTAGAAAAGGATGATTCGGTAACCTTTTCATCCATGAAAATCATTTCAACGGATTTGGTTGTTGGATTTTTCGATCCAAACTTCTCATTCCATTTTCTGATGACCATCACCATAAAAGTAGTACCCTTTGGTAAGGTCGGTACAACATCTTTTAGATACTTTTCCGTAGGTGCCATTGTTCCTAAAAATAAAGTGGTTGAGACAGATAAATAAAATTTAACATCTACAATAATTACACATTAATATGGATTCAATTAACTGAATAAATTAAATATAAGTACCAGAAAATATTTTTGAATCCACTCATCGCAGGTTATTTGTTCAAAATTTAGCAGCACAGATAGGCATAAGATCTGCTTTCATGTTTCACAAAATTATTGTTTTAGAAAAAATATAATGAATATAACACATAAAAAAAACTTGTTTTACACCAATGTGTACTATCCTTTAGCTTTATATACACCAATAAAGAAATCACAGTAATATAGTTTTTGTTGAGAAGAATCAGTTTTTGTTATATATATTCACCCAATGTGTAATTCTTCTTATATTGCAATTCCTTGTGAACCAGAAATCATTTTTTTGTCAAACATATCACTCACTCAATCTATATTCTTATTTTATTTATTTTAATTGGTACTGTAATTAAAAGAAAAGATACGCAGTTGTTTGCATAAATTAATATAATAACTACTTACTTTGTAATTGTCGAAAATAAGAGCAAAAATGGAAGAACAAAATCAGCTGAGGCGTAGCACGCTGCAAGCGTTAGGCGATCAGAAGAGGTGTTTATATAGATGATAAGATTGCTCGAAAAAATCTATTAGATATAGGACTCTATTGGAGATCTTGAGAGCTCTTGTGCGTCGGATGGTGTCACCCACGGCGGCTCAGCCGCCTACACCAACTCCCAACGTTTGGTCAAGGAAATCATTTGCCGACGTGGTGGCCAGTAAACCTGGTGGATTACTATCGGCTAAAACCCCTTCTCGTCACAAAGGAGTGCCTGCCATCAGCTTCCCGGATAGTGATGTTGCAATCCTGGCTGAAAGGCATAAAAATACGCTGATTGGCTACTTTTATCGTGGAAGGCCCAGTTTGGAGAATATTCGTAAAGCTTTTGAGATCATTGGTTTTAAGGGTTCTTTTCATCTAGGTGTTTTGGAACGAAAGCATATTGTTATTAGATTTGATGCGGAGGAAGATTATTTCAGATGTTGGAACCGTCAGAGTTGGACTATTCAAGGTTATGTGATGCGTGTTACGAAGTGGACTCCGGATTTTCACCCGAATGTTGAGTCTCCGGTGTTTCCGGTTTGGATCAGCTTTGAAGGCTTGCCCTTACACCTTCAGGATAAAAGGGCGCTATTTGACATTGCTGGACTATTAGGTAACCCCCTAAAGATTGATGCTGCTACAGCAAATTTATCTAGGCCTTCAGTAGCCCGTGTTTGCGTTGAAATTGATGTTACGAAGGATATGCCTTCCAAGGTATGGATAAATTGTGGTTCTCTTGGCTTTATGCAACCAGTTATATATGAACAGCGCCCGGAATACTGCTCACACTGCTTGCACCTGGGACATTCATTTGGTAATTGTGCTAAAAAAAACCCAGATGTACCTAAGGTCTCCAATTTGCCCAGGGACAAATGGGTGGAGAAAAATAAAGTTTTATCAAGTCAGCAATCCAAACAAGTAAAATTTACAGCGGCTGAGAAAGGTAAAGCTATTATCACTGACAAGACTATTTGCAAGGCAGGTAATAAGGATGACAGGAATTTAAGCAAGGCTCTGATAGTTGTTGATCAGCCAGCCTCTTTAAAGCCATCCTTTTCAAAACCATCTACTTCAGTGCCAGTCCCCCAGGTGACATATGCTGATTGGGATGAAGTATCTGAAACTGAAGAAATATTTCATGAAGGAAGATCTGACGTCCCAAAGCCAGTTGATGGTGTTTCTGGTTCTCATAATCAGGCTAATCCAGAGTCAGGGGGGCTAGACCGGCATGAGATAAGGATGCTACTTCATAAACCGCTCCTTGGATTACTGCAAAACAAAAATGTTAACCATATCAAAGATGATTTTCAGCTTAAGGAGTTAAACAAGATAATGGAGTTTGACCAGGTTGTAGCATCAAAAGAGTATGCTTCAGATGGTGAATCTAATAAGGATAGTAAGGCCTTACATAATTGGGAGGTAAATTGGAGCGATATTGTGGCCAAAGTTGATGCTATGGCTGCTAGATTAGCTATGCAGGAAACCTCATCTCTCTCTGTGGATTGTGAGGAGTCTGGGAATGCGCCATTGCCTCAGCCAAACACTCAGGTCGGCAGGGGTGGTGTTTCTGTGCCAAATCAACCTGTTGATTCAGCTTCTGAACCTGTCCATGAAGACGATGTTATGGTCCAGTTGAATCAGCCTGAGGCTTTTGAGCTTGAAGAGGGCGAGTTTACCAAAGTTATCAGCAGGAGAAACAGGAAGAAGGACGCTTTAGAGGGTCTTGGGGCTGTTCCTCGGATCACAAGGAATACTGCAAAAAAGAAAGATGGGTCAGTTGGGTCAGTTTCTGATTTAAGTATCAGTAAACAGGCTTCTCAAAATTCCTCACTCCTACCTAAATGAATTGCCTATTCTGGAATGTACGGGGTATTGAATCTGCCAGGGCTAGATTATCTTGTTTAATCAGGCAATGGAAGGTTCAGATCCTAGCTGTTATTGAACCTATTTCTCACTTTTCTAAAGCTGATTCTTTTAGGCATGATTTTGGTTTTTCTGAGGTTCTTTCTTCTCCTATTAATAAAATCTGGGTCTTTTGGGACTCAAATGATGTAAATATCTCTGATGTTACTTGGCATTCACAATTTATTCATATGAAGATTTCAAAGTGCAACTTTGAGGGCTGGATCACTATGGTTTATGGAAATCATAATACTGTTATCAGGAGGGAGCTTTGGGACTCTCTGGTGTCTTTGTCTAATGGGATTCAGATGCCTTGGTTGATTGGGGGGATTTTAATGCCATTGCAGCCCATAATGAGCATAATGGAAGAGCTATGCCTAATCTTAGAAGTATTATGGACTTTTCTGATTGCATCTCAGCCTGTGACTTTATTGAACCTAATAGCTCAGGGCCTTTCTTCACTTGGTCAGGGGTTAGAGCTAACGGTAGGGTGTGGAGGAAATTAGATAGATGCTTTATCAACTCCAGTTGGAATGACTCTTTTAGTAACATTCAGGTGGACAATTTAGACAGAACACCATCTGATCACTGTCCTATCCTGGTCAAATGTCTTATGGAGGATCAATTTGGGCCCAGATCATTTAAATTTCAAAACATGTGGCTTAAACACACTAATTTTATGGAGGTTGTGCAGAGAAGCTGGTGTAGTAGTTCCAGTGGAGGGGGAATGAGAGGGATGGTCTTTAAATTGCAGTGCCTGAAAAAGGATCTGAAGCTCTGGAATAAAACTTCATTTGGTAATATCTTTGATGACATCAAATTGTGTGAAGCTAGAGTGATAGAGGCGGAAAAAGACTTTGAATTAAATCCTAGTGAGGAAAGAAGAGCTCACTGGAGTCACATGAGGGCACTATTGATGACTAAACATAAGATGGAAAGAAAATTTTGGAAACAGAAAGCCCGCTTACAGTGGCTTAAAGACGGTGATTCTAACTCTAAATTTTTCCACTCCTATGTTAAGATCAGACACAGAAAGCAAGCGATTTCCTCCATCACCAATGATCAGGGGCAGAAGATTACCTCTTTCTCTGAGATTGGAGATGCTGCTATATCCTTTTTCTCAAAACTTTACTCTGTGGATCCTGAAATTGATGCTGAAGAGATCCTGCAATTCATACCTCAGATTATTTCTAGTGATGACAATCTGTTTCTTATGAAATTGCCAGATGAAGTAGAAGTTAAGCATGCAGTTTGGAGTCTTAATCCAAATGGGGCTCCAGGACCCGATGGGTTTAATGGTAAATTTTTCAGAAAATGCTGGCCTATTGTTGGAAAAGACTTGGTTAGGGCTGTTCAGGAGTTTTTTATGGGCATATCTATTCCCAAAGGTATGTCCAGTAGCTTGGTAATTTTAATTCCTAAATCTGACAATCCTGATACTTTTGGTGATTTTCGGCCCATCTGTCTCTCTAATTTCGTGTATAAGGTCTGCACTAAGGTTATGGCTGATAGACTGGCTTTGTTATTACCTAAAATCATCTCCAAGGAACAAATAGGCTTTATGAGGAATAAAGATATGGTTGATCACATTTTAATTGCTCAGGAGATGATTCATGCATTACAAAAAAAAAAATAAGGGGATCAAATGTAGTGGTAAAGCTGGATATGGCCAAAGCTTTTGACAAGGTTTCCTGGAGATTTCTTAACAGTGTTCTACACAAGTTTGGCTTTTCTCAAGCATTTACTCAGGTTGTGATGAATTCATTACAGTCCACTTACCTATCCATCTTAATTAACGGAATCCCCACAGGATTTTTTCAACCTAAAAGAGGGGTAAAACAAGGTGACCCTCTCTCCTTTTTTCTTTTTATTTTGGCTTCTGAGGCCTTTTCTAGGGGGTTAAATTGGCATATTAACAATGGCCATATTAAGCAGTATTATTTGGGCTCTTTAGGTCAGCCTGTTTCCCACCTGGGATTTGCTGATGACCTACTGGTTTTCCTTAATGGGGAATCTAGGTCTTTAATAAATTTCAGCAATTTTTTAAAATCTTACCAGCTTGCTTCTGGCCAGTCTATTAATCTACTCAAGAGCTCTTTTTTATGTGGGAGAAAGGCAAGAGCTGGGGTGATCTCCAATCTCCTTATGATGCGGGAGTCTGAGCTTCCAATTAAATACTTGGGGGTCTCTCTGCATAAAGGAATTAATAGGGATAAGTACTGCATGGATATTGTTAAAAAATTCGATTCCAAACTTACTACTTGGATGCAAAAAAACTTATCTATGGGTGGTAGGCTTATTCTGATCAGACACGTGCTCAACACCATCCCTTTGCATATTTTAGCTGCAGACAGATTACCAAAGAAAATTATCAGCATTTTGGAAAGTAAAATGGCAGGATTTCTATGGGGTTCTTCTAATAACAAACAAAAATATCATTGGATTAAGTGGTCACATCTTTGTTTTCCCACTGATGAAGGGGGGTTGGGTATAAGGAGTCTATCTGATATTGAAAAAGCTTTCTCCTTAAAACTTTGGTGGAAATGGAAGAAAGGGAGGTCTATGTGGTCCAACTTTATGCATGTCAGGTATCCAAGGGGTCAGAATATGACTCCTAAGATAACTGACTCGCCTATTTGGAGAAGAATTTGCTATATTGATGAGTCAGCTAGCTCTCTGTGTGGACTAAATGAGGATGGAAGTCTGTTCTGGGAGCCTGAGGATGATGGTAGGTTTACTTTAAAGTCGGCCTATGAGGCAATCAGGGATGAGCTGCCTAAACAATTCTCCTATCAGCATAGTTGGCATCCCAAACTTCCTCTTACAATTAGATTGCTACAGTGGAAAATCATTAAAAGAATTGTCCCTATTACGGACAATTTGTCCAGATTTAAGGTTGTCCTCAATCCTTCCATTTTCCCTTTCTGTAGACAACATTCAGATAGTATGGATCACATCTTTCTTTCTTGTGATAAGATAAAGCCAATCTGAGAGTATTTCATGGGAATTTTGGGCATTCCTATCCTTTATCGGTCCATCTCTATCAGACAAATCTTCCTTTCTTGGTGGTTAAAAGTTGGCTTTAAAAGTCTTGAGGATATTTTTAAGCATTGTTTACCTGGTATCATATGTTGGAACATCTGGAAGGTGTATGCGGATCTAATTTGGGGATTGGGGGATAATTTTCCTACGCAAGATAATTTTATTTATCAAATTAAATCTTATTCTCAGTTGTGGGTCTCTAACTTCTCTACATTAAAGCTTGCTAAGGTGGGGAGAATTCTTTATGAGGAGCATCTAATACCTACTGGTTTTAAGCTATCGAGGCCTACGATAATTGCTGTTAGGTGGAAAAAGCCAGTAAACACTTACAAGCTTAATACTGATGCCAGCTTCGGGTTGGGCTCAGCAAGGGGAGGTTCAGTTCTGAGGGATTCAGAAGGTCGCTTCATCAGGGCAACTTCCTTTCCAATCGATGCCTCTTCTCCTTTGTAGGCGGAATTATTGGCGGTATTTACAGCTACGAAATGGGCGATTCATGAAGGATTTTCAGGGTTCAAGGTTGAGACGGATTCTTCTGAAGTGATACGATACATCGAGGATGGTGGTGAAGGTAGGTGGTCGTGCCAGGTTACTTCGTTGTTGGATCTGTCTGAAGCTAATGGTATTTCCTATTTCAGTACTTTGAGAGAAGCAAATATGGTTGCCCACTATTTAGCGGATCTAAATCTGGCCCATCAGATATTTTATACGCAAATCTGTGATCTTCCTAGTCGGGTTCGGATGTCCTACTATATGGACCTCTTTGGTCTTCCCGCTTTTAGAATTAGCTGATCGGACTTCTTTCTGTTTTACTTCTAATGGGTCAGGTCCAGCCCCCCCATTAGCCCTTTCCTTTGTTTCTATATCTGAGAGGTTTTGATCTAGTCCCCCTCTCGTGTTGATTTGAATTTTTAATAATACTCTGGTAAATGGACTCCGGCATTTACCTCACTGATTTTGGTGGTTTGCCTTCCAGAGGAAAAAAAAAACAAAGAAAAAAAAAGGACTCTATAATGAGTCTATCTCACGTTAGTCTCCAAGTAGAGATATACTCGTACTCGGTAATAGTAATTCTATTTATTATGGGGAAGCTCTATCATAAATAAGTATTACAATTTAACAGTTTTTTTATCAATTTATATAAATGCCATCATTATTACTGACAGGCCATCATCAATTAGTAACTCATAAATCACAAAAAAAAACGTGATTAACATAAACTGATCATTAAAGAGCAATTTTAGTTAAACTGTGTGAATAATTTTCGTAGTGCCTTTAAATAATTACCATCAAGAAAGCGGAATTTAAAAGAGGAATTTTAGTTGTACTGGGTAACTAACTCAGGGCATCTCTACCAAGTGTTAGAGTTTAAGTGTTCAAGTTTACATATAGATCACAATACATATAAGTAATAAGCAAATTTTTGTGGAATATAAATCAATTAAATATACTAAACTAAATCTCTGTTGAAATATAAACTACAAAATATAATATTGAAGAGAGGAGGAAAGATTTTTTGTCTATTTCATTAGTTATGTAAGTCCCTATAAATATACATTACAAATAGAATATTCCTATATAAGATTCTATACAATAGAGAAAAGGGTCAAATAAGGCCTTCTACTATTATGAAATAGTCACATAAGGCCACGTACTCAATAAAGTGTCATATAACTGATATAAGTACCTCTACTTGTAAAAAGCAATCAAATAGGTCCTAATGACCTATTTAACACCTCTTAATCCCGATTTTTGTGTACTTGTGACCATCTTTTTAGAATAGATTATACGACATACGTCGAATATTTAACTAAGATTGGTTGAAATACAAGTCAAAAAAATCGACATGTAAGCTAAAACCGGGATTAGGAGGTTGTAAATAGATCGTTGGGACTCATTTGATTGTTTTTTACAAGTAGAGGTACTTATCTGACACTTTATTGAGTACATGGCCTTATGCGACTATTTCATAATAGTAGTGTAACGAACTCGTTACCTTGCGTGAGGGGAAAGGGAGTTAGGGAGCAGAAAAGATTGAGAGAGAAGGAGAGAGATAGAATTTTGGAATAATCATTTCATAAGTCCTCCTTTTCCTCCCCACTTCGTACATATATGTGTAATATAAAACATAATGGCCCAGCCATTGTACCAATTAAGTATTAATAATAAAATAACAGTAATAATAAGCAGACCATAACATTGATCCAATTGTACGACCCAAGTATTAATATTTCTCGTTCCCGCTCAATAGCTCGGTCATGACATTACTCCCCCCTTTTAAAGATTCTTGTCCCCAAGAATCAGCTTTTGCCAAGAGTTGCAAGAGTTTGGCTCGGGTTGACCATGCTGTGAAGGGTTCCTCCGCCTCATCTTGAGCAATATGTAAGGTTACTGGTGCTGCACCTCCTTGCCCAATTTGAATGTTCTTGACCCAGGATGGAGATATGCAGAAATTCCCATCCCTATCTACTGGCGGAAGAACATAAGTCACCTGTGCTCTGGAAGTAATATACCTTTTCAAGAGAGAAACATGAAAGACAGGATGTATCTTTGCCTCTTCTGGTAAGTCTAGTTTATATGCTACCTTTCCAATTTTTTCAAGGATAGTATAAGGGCCATAGTAACGGGCAGCCAATTTGTGATTTCTCCTCATCTGTACAGACTGCTGGCGGTACGGTTGGAGTTTGAGATACACCTTGTCTCCCACCTCAAACTCCCTGTCCACCCTCCTTGAGTCGGCGTAGTGTTTCATTCTGCTTTGAGCTTCCTTGAGATTTTCCCTCAACTCTTGTCTCATTTTCTGTCTTTTGGTGATTAATTCCCCTGCTTCAGTGTGCGTAAGATGAGAGGGTGATGGTAAAGATAATACCGGGGGTGAATACCCATAGAGAGCTTCAAAGGGGGTAGTCTTGAGGCTCGTGTGATAGTTCGTGTTATACCAGTATTCGGCCAAGGTGATCCATTGGAACCAAGTTCTGGGATTTTGATGTACCATTGCTCTTAAGTAAGCCTCTAAACATTGATTAAGCCTCTCAGTTTGCCCGTCTGATTGAGGGTGATAGGAGGAGGTGTAACTCGGCTGAGAGCCCAGTAATTTAAATAATTCCTTCCAAAATCGGCTAGTGAAAATTGCATCCCTATCAGTCAGTATGTCCATAGGCTGGCCGTGCAACTTAAACACATTATCCAGGAATGCCTTAGCTACCTCTGCCGCTGTGTAAGGGTGGGAAAGGGGTATGAAATGACCAAACTTAGTAAGTCGGTCCACTACTATTAAAATCACATCCTTGCCATGTGACTTAGGTAGTCCTTCAATAAAGTCCATACTTATATGACTCCAAGCCTGCTCTGGAATGGGTAGAGCTTGTAGTAAACCCGGATATGGTCCACTTTCATTTTTTGTCTGGGCACAGGTTTCACACTCCTTGACCCACCCCGTTATGTCTGCCTTCATCCTAGGCCAGTAGAAAACTCTCTTCAATCTCTTGTAAGTTCCCAATATACCTGAGTGTCCCCCAACGGGTGAGGCATGCAATTCTCTGAATATAGTGTACCTTATGTCAGTAGTTTTGCCAACTAGTATCCTTCCCTGGAATCTAATTACTCCTCCATGTATTTCAAATTCTGGGTGAGATGTTGGTTGAACAGCTTTATCCTCCTTAATTTTATTGACATAAGGATCCTGCTCATAGCTTCCCATGATCTGTTGCACCCATAGAGGTTTAATCATAGTCAGTGACATGCATTCTTCCCCTTCCATTCCTCTTCTAGAAAGGGCATCAGCCACCTTATTCTCAACCCCCTTTTTATATTGTATTTCGTAGTCTAGCCCCAATAGTTTAGTTATCCATTTTTGTTGTAACGGTGTAGAAATTTTCTGGTCCAAGAGGTATTTGAGTGTCTGCTGGTTAGTTTTGATGATAAACGTATTTCCCTGCAGATAATGTCTCCACTTTTGGACTGCCATGAGGACAGCTAGGAATTCCTTCTCATAGACCGACAGCCCCATGTGTTTCTCTCCCAGTTTCTTGCTAAGATAGGCAATGGGCCTTCCCTCTTGCATCAATACCGCACCCAATCCTGTACCGCTAGCATCAGTTTCTAGGAGGAAGGGTTTGGTAAAATCTGGTAGAGTTAAAACTGGAGCCCGAGTCATGGCAAGCTTCAATTCCTTGAAGGCTAATGTGGCATCTTGGTTCCAACTGAAACACCCCTTTTTAAGAAGAGCAGTTAATGGTTTACTAATACTCCCATATCCTTTGATAAACCGCCTATAATACCCGGTGAGTCCAAGAAAACCCCTTAATTCCTTAAGGGTGGTAGGTGTAGGCCAATCAACCATACTCTGTACCTTATCCGGGTCTGTTGATACCCCTTGCTGTGTAATGATGTGCCCCAAATAAGAAACAGATTCCACTCCAAACATACATTTGCTCTTTTTTGCAAACAACTTATGGGATCTGAGAAGGCCTAGTACCTCAGTGAGATAGTGTAAGTGTTCCTCCCAGGTCTTGGTGTAGATTAAAATATCATCAAAGAACACCAAGACCACCTTCCTCAGCAATTCTCCAAATATTTGATTCATTAGGGATTGGAAGGTAGCCGGGGCATTGCATAGGCCAAAGGGCATGACCAAGAACTCATAGTGCCCGTTATGAGTTCTAAACGCTGTTAAGTATCTATGTTCGGGTGCCATTAAGATCTGAAAATATCCTGAGCGTAAGTCAATTTTAGAAAAGTACATTGCCCCTCCAAGCTCATCCAGGAGTTCATCAATAATTGGAATGGGGTAGTTGTGCTTGATAGTATGGCTGTTGAGGTATCTATAATCTACGCACATTCTCCAGCTTCCATCCTTCTTTTTGACCAACAAAACCGGGGATGAGAATGGGCTTCTGCTAGGCTGTATTTCCCCTGTTTTTAATAATTCTGCAACTATCCTTTCTATCTCGTTTTTCTGACTATGAGATGTTCTGTAAGGATATTGCTGCTTAGGTAAGCTGCCCGGTTTCAAAAGGATCTGATGTTCAACCCCACGTGAAGGAGGTAGAGATTTGGGTTCTTCAAAAACATCCTTGAAATCTTCCAAAAGTTCTCTTAATTCTGGAGGGGAATGAGCCTCAGTGTCAGTGATCTTAACCCAGTAAACCTCCTCCACAGTGTCTTCCAACATCATCCTGTAGAGGGAATGCATACTAGCATGTGGGTATTTCTCTTCACACTGGATTTCAATCCTTTGATTGCCCCGGGTCATTGCAACAGTCATCTTGTCATAATCGTATTGCACTGGGGTGTGAGCCTTTAGCCAATCACCCCCTAATATGAGGTCAAACTGTTCATGTGGTAGTACCCTAAATGAGTACTCAAATTCATGTGTTTGTATCTTCCAGTTGAGACCGGTCACCATCGTGGAGCTGATCAATTTATGTCCTCCAGCAGCAGTAACTCTCACAGGAGTAATTTCAGTTTCAATACATCCTAATTTCTGGGCTGCCTTATTACTAATAAAGCTAAGAGACGCGCCTGAGTCAATCAGAATTCTTACCTTATGTTTTCCAACTCCTCCCAAAACGGTCATAGTGGTTGGTCCAACTCCTTTAGTGGTCATGCCTAGGGTCAGAAGCACTTCCTCCATGTTTTCAACCTCTTCTTCCTTGGTTTCTGGATCTTCCGTTTGGGATTGTGATTCATCATCAGCCCAGAGAACGTATACATGTCGTTGTTTGCATCTATGGCCCGGCGTAAACCGCTCATCACAGTTAAAACACTGTCCTTTCTCCCTTTTAGCTGCCATCTCAGTTTGAGTTAGCAACTTAAAAGGGGGTGTGAAGGTATTTTGATGCTCCCGGTTTGTAGTTACCACTGTGGCCTGAGTATCCAGCTTCCTGGCA